CTCATATGCTTCTTGTACAATTACGAAACAAAACAAGTTTTTTTTTTCAACGAAAACTCAGTGAGTTTTCCTAAAAAATTATTGCGCATATTCCGTGAATGAAAAGTTGCCGGGTCATGTCAGGTCAGGCTGCCACAGCAAGTTTGTTAACTTGACAGCTCAATCGATATTTATGCAATAAGACCTTCTCGGGTGACGATAAGACATGACGGCACTTTATGAAGGAAGCTAGTAAACCCGGTAGTTTCTCCATAGGCGCGGGAACCGGGGGGAGGGGGCAGCTTGCCCCCCCCCCCTACCTCTGGGGCCGTGGGGGCGGTGCCCCCACAACTTTCAGACGTAATACCGCCTTTTTTGCAAATGTTTTCTTTTTTTGTTGAAAAAGCCAAGAGATGAAAAATAAGTGGCCTAAAACCGGTGAGAAAACTATATTTGGGGGGACTCTAGGTTGATCTCTATCATGGTGTGACCTCCCCCCCCCCCCGTCTAAAAGTAGTTCCCGCGCCCCTGGGTTTCTCTACGCTATTGAATCACGCTGCTGATTCTAGTAAGTATCTACTACACATCCTTCTCACATTAATTTTTCTTCGAGCGTTTTGGGGGGCCAAAAGATTGTTGGCCCCCTCTTTCAGGCTTTTTGGGCCCATGGCCCCGGTGGTCCCCTTGAATCCGCCAGTGGGGGCGGTGCCCCCACAATTTTCAAACGGAATACCGTCCTTTTTTGCAATTGTTTTCTTTTTTTGTTGTTGAAAAAGCCAAGGGATGAAAAATAAGTGGCCTAAAACCGGTGAGAAAACTAGATTTGGGGGGACCCTAGGTTGCTCTCTATTATGGTGTGCTCCCTCAGTCTGAAAGTAGTTCCCGCGCCCCTGACTTTCTCTACGCTATTGAATCACGCTGCTGATTATAGTATCTACTACGCAACCTTCTCACATTAATTTTTCTTCAAGCGTTTTAGGGGGCCAAAAGATATGTTGGCCCCCTCTTTCAGGCTTTTGGGGGGCCATGGCCCCGGTGGCCCCCCCTGGATCCGCCAGTGGGGGCGGTGCCCCCACAACTTTCAGACGGAATACCGTCCTTTTTTGCAACTGTTTCTTTTTTTGTTGAAAAAGCCAAGGGATGAAAAATAAGTGGCCTAAAACCGGTGAGAAAACTAGATTTGGGGGGACCCTAGGTTGATCTCTATTATGGTGTGCTCCCCCAGTCTGAAAGTAGTTCCCGCGCCCCTGACTTTCTCTACGCTATTGAATCACGCTGCTGATTCTAGTAGGTATCTACTACGCAACCTTCTCACATTAATTTTTCTCCAAGCGTTTTGGGGGGGGCCAAAAGATATGTTGGCCCCCCCTTTCAGGCTTTTGGGGGGGGCCATGGCCCCGGTGGCCCCCCCCTGGATCCGCCAGTGAATACATGCGGTCGTTCCCGCTCCCTCTTACAGAAGACATATATGACACTGCTGCGTATGTGTATTGTTTATGTGCTTAATGAGTTGCTTAATGTACAGAAGCTCACCCATTATCAGCAGTCCTTGCGTTTTGTGCTTAATTGAGAGCGGCAGTAGTAATAAATGCTACTTATTGTTTCATTGAATTTTATCGCGAAAACACAATCATCTGCCGTGTATCTTCAATCTTCATATCTATGTTACCAGCCGCAAGTGACTTTCAACATGGTCAGCGTTTCTTGACTAGGGTTCGGGCAAAGGAATGCTGTCATATCTGCCATATTAGCGAGCTAGCAATAGATGTCAAATAAGGTTATATATGCGTCGTTTTTTAACCCTCGCCCTGGCAAGGGGGGGTCGATGCGACCCCCCCTAAGGTTTTTCGAAGATAGCGTAAAAACGGCGGCGCGCAGCGCCGCAAAATTTGGCACAGCTTATGGGGCAACGTTTTTACATATGACCTGAAAATTTCAGGTCCGGGTGACCTTGGGTCAGGTCACCAGGTCAGAAAAACCGGTAGAAGGTCATGGTCAATTTCCAATTTTCTTTTTGCACCTGTCCAACTCACAGTTTTGCACTGATTTCCTTCAAACTTTCAGGATGTGCTAAGTTCACCGAGTTGTATAACATGTAGTTCGGGTTTTTTGAGGTCACTGACCTGAGGTCAGTTAGAGGTCATTACGTCGTTATGTTAAGCCTATGGGAAAATACTAAATTCGGAAAATACTGGAGATATCTGCTTCGTTCTATCACTTTTGTGCTTTGAAACCACAGTACTTAACAGCAGGTCACTTGGTGCTTCTTTGTTTGGTGTACTTATCCGTGGGTCAGGTCAAATGAGGTCAACTGAGGTCAAATGACGTTTTTGCCAATAACTTGGCACATAATGACGCTAGAGCTTAAAAATGGTACCATTGTGTTCCTGGTGATCAGCCGAATCGAATGATATGCAATATGATGCAATTTGGTTAACTTTAACTTAATTTATTAATTTAAGTTTACTTAAAATTTAAGAAAAACTTTAAGTAAACTTAAGCAAGCTAAAAAGTATATCATTCGACGCGCCTTGACGTGCTGAGTTCACTGGTGCTTTTCTTTTTGCTCTATCTTAATTAGATCAAAAGTTATAAGCGAAAAACTTTTGACCTGTTTTTAGCGAAATTTTTACATTTATACCCCCCAAAACCCCCCTAAATATTGACCTAGAGCAACCAAATTTGCACAGGGGCGAGAACTCCAGAGGGCCCACCTACCTACTAAATTTGGTGTTTCTAGGTGCCATAGGAGCCAATCGCGAGGGGGGGGGGTCGCATCGACCCCCCCCCCCCTGCCAGGCCGTGTTATGAAAAATGCCCTGCCAGGGCGAGGGTTAAAGCATTACTTATGAACGATCAATCGTGTTGCTGTTCGTGTGGCTCCGGGTTTTCCAGCATGCACTTCATGGTGTACCTATTTAATTATGTCGGTGGAGAGTAGTTTTCTCTATAAAGGTCAACCTGTCCATAGTCCACTAAACAACGGATAACAACTAGTTGTATTACATACGCCTTTGCCATTCCCCGACTCATAAAAGATATAAAAGCTGGATGAAGAATGCATGTCTATTGCGGCAATGACTAATGGATTGGTCGTGGCATGGCACGTCATGGTCATGTGGCCGGCACTAATCAAGACAACATGATTCCTTTTGTACTCCATACGCATCAAGGTTGTTGACGGCCGCTTGACTTGTCAGCACCGATTGAGAACAACAGCACATCCAGTATCTACTCACATGGTCAACAGTTCAACACAGCATTCAAATTAACTCTTGAAAAGTCATTCCTAGCATTCAAGGCATGTCGTCCCTCCCACAACATTGCATTTAACATGTACAATACTAAGGCAGCGCCAATGAGGTCAAAGGTTGGCAAAAAACTTTCAAACGCTCCTTATGAAGAAATAAGCTTTGTGAAATCTTCGAGTCGATATTGCAAATTAAATGCGGAGTCTGTAATTGTTTTACATTTTCTCTTTTCAAGGACGATTGCTCATTTCTATTCTAACATTTGCCTTTGATACCTAAAGAGAATACGGCAAACGTCGGACTACTTATGATTTTTGTTACAGTGAAACGAGTTAACGATTAACGATTTAACGGAATTCGTCGTTATGTACATTTCCACAGTTGGCTTGTCCCATATTTTTACAATTGCTTCCGCCGCACATACCTATGTATTGTCAGTGTCTTGATTAATTAAGCGTCGCTCCCATGAATTGGGGGATCGCCAACCAGCAATTGGCAGGCCCGCTCATAATAAGTGGTCCCTGCGGAAGATCCTATCAAAGCCCTTGCAAAGGAAGGACTTCATCGGGGGCCTGCCGTCTGAGGTGCAGCGGAGTTGTAAAGACCGCTGGGCCGAGCGGCCACCGCCGCGCTGTTGTTCCACAGCCGCTTGAAGGGACAGTATCACCATTTTGATGAAATTTGACATTGCATAGGCCCCACCTTTCTGGTCCGGGAACTGAAGACCGATCCTCGAAGCTCCACACTGTTATCCCGCTATCGCCGCTCAAAGTACGAAAGGTGTACCACACTTTGAATCGTGCTTCACTATCTTCACTGTTTAAATGTTTGCGCCGTTTTGAATTGACCGCCAGTAATAAAACTTTTACCCTGGTCATTTCATCAAATTTTATAAAGCCAAAACGTTTTTCGCACTTATTCATCACCGTTAAATTCATTAAATAGTCGTAGGCAATTTCCGCTGTTTCCTTCGGATTCTAGCGGCTCAACAAAGGAATTCCTCCAGCTTGAATCACAATCTCCCTCCAATGTATGACGTTTATCACGTGATTGTCACGTGATATTTTCTCCCATTGTCAATTGTCACGTCCAATTGTCACTCCCTCCAATTGTCACGTTATATTTTTATAGGCAATACCTAAGGCTACCTCTCCCTAAGGACAACTCAATCAGAAGAACGACCGCGTAAGCGTAGAGTCAATAATGTATTATCTGCGCCAGTTCTGTAGTAATTTTGCATGCTTCCAAACTGGCGGCCATGCTTGTATAGTGGTGGTTCGCTCATGAAAATGAATCATGAAAATGAAATGTGGTTGCAATATTTTTCACCGAGTTCGGTCCTCAAACTATGTTTTTCTGATTCAGAAAAATAAGAAATGCTAGTAAAAAAAAAATCAGCTCCATACATGGATTTTTTTTTCGATGATACTGTCCCTTTGAGGTTACCCCGCGTCAGAGACGTCAGAGACGTCACCCGCTCGACGTCACAACCAAGCATCATATTTACGCTGGACGTCACACGGCTGATATCACTAAATTTGTCAACACTGCGGTAAACACCACTTTCACTACCATAGATTATAGTTCAAACGTTTAACTGCAGACACCCGACATTTTGCGTTTCATTCCAATGCGTTCGACATCTCATTTTCACAACTGCTATCCGTCATGCCAGATCCACCATTGTCGGACACCGTCACTGTCAAATACCATCATTGTCCGACTTCCCCATTGTCCGGTATTGTCAATGCCCGTCACTGTCCGGCGCCATCACTGTCCTTTGGCCGGCAGCCATGTCCAGCCGAGCCGGGCGCGGCGCACGTCCTGCTCCAGGCCGGTGGGTCTCCGGCCGTACCCGGTGGGCGCCACCACCTCCCCGCCCGCCAGGTAGGCCGCCCAGAAGCCGAACGTGCCGTGAGTGACTACTGTGTGGTTACAGGCGGCCAGCAGCGCCAGATCGGCCCCGGGCCGCGTCTGTACCCCGTCCCCGGCGACCACAACGCGCTGAAGTCCGCGGAGGTTTTTCCTGCACCAGTCCGGGTCGTCTGAGACGACTACGAACAGCGCGTTTCGGTGTCGACTTTTCATCAGCGCCACGGCTCGGCGCAGGTAGCTCACGCCGGCCACGCGGCCACGTACGCTCCGCGCCAGCCATGTGCTGTAGTCTGTGCGCCGCACGTGCACGCCGATAAAGGTGGGCGCCGTGACGGCCGCCTGGTACGCCAGCTCGGCGAGTCGCAGGTCGGCGCGCTGACGCAGCTCCTTCCGGAAGGTGAAGTCCCGCAGCAGCCGCGCGCGCAGTGGATGGAACAGGGGCACGGCGTGTGGGAAGCCGCCGATCATGTGGTTGGTGTCGGAGTCGGGCCGTTTGGCCATCAGCTCCTCAGTGGATATGACGGTCCAGTTGACGCGGCAGCTGATGGGCAGTACCGGCACCCACAGCCGCCCGAAGTAGACGGCCAGGGTGCGCGCCATGTCCGGATGGAGCCAGGCGGGCCGGCGCAGCTCGCTGGCCGCCGCCAGCAGCGTGGCGTACTCGGACATGATGTTGCCGAGCCGGCCGGCCGAGTTGATGGAGAGCAGCCTGCTGGGTGTGGGACAGCGCCGGAGCCGGCCCGGGCGCGGTACCGGACCGGCGGGGAGCGGTGCCGCGGTACGCGGTACGGTACTCTGCAGAGCCGGGCGGGGGAGGACGCCCAGCGCCGGCTCTCTGAGCGATGTCAGCCCGATCAGCAGCAGGCCGGCTGTGGTCAGAAGCATCAGCAGCAGTAGCTGCTGGGCCGGGCGGCACCAGCAGCCGGCCAGCATCTTCAGCCGGCAGCACTGCCTCCGACCGCCACCGCCAGCGCTGCCGGATCCGAGGATGGAATATTTACGACCGCCGTGAGCTGGTGAGAAGACAGTGAAGTAATGAGACAGACGATTGGCTATAGTAAACCCTGTTAGGTACCGCTGCGTATATAATTTATACTTTGCTATGAGCACTTCCGCCACCAGTGTGAAAAGTGAACACAATTAGCACTGTCGCTGGTACAAGCTGGGCCGCCACTTTGTCACTGCTGCTGGCGGGGGTCGGCCGCTGCACTGCTGCCGTTGTGGGGACACCACTGTCGCTTCCGGTGGAATCCCGGCCACCACCCACGCTGCTTGGAGCGGGACCACTACTGACACCGGCGTGCACCGTCACAACCGACGAGCCACGCTGTCGATGACGTCAAACTTTTTTGTTCCAAGGGTCCTGGCTGGTCGATATCTGTTGAATAATGACATATTACCGTCAGTATGTTGTTTAACAAGGCTGTCAGCACGCCTTTTCACTCGGCCTTCACCTCGAGTGTTTCCGCACACTTGCAGTTGTCTCGTTGGTCGAGTTTTGATACTACATGTGTAAACGGTTACCAAATGATTGAAATGAGCCTGCTATTAATTGTTAACAAATATATCAATGGTGATTGGTGAAGCATTAACCCTGCATGCTCCAAACCGTCTGGATATCTCAGTAGCGCTTCAGACCTGCTGTCTGTGTAGTGTATAGGTATACGAAAAGTTAAAGTGGACTATTCGGTATCCTCGTATTCCTGTCTGTCGCAATTTAACCATGATGCATGGTAAACGGGAGGTGATCGTGACAAAGCATACTGAAACCATCCTAAACATTGGACATTAAAAATCGCATAAAGATCAACGAGCAAGCCCCTGTCAATCTGTGGCGTTACGTAAGGGGCAAATGCCGTCATCGACCCCGATATATTGTGTGGCTAACGATGGCCCGTAGCCAGGCGAAAGATCGTTATTCTATATTCACCCAGGTATGTTGGCTAAGAGACAATGGAGCATATATGACGATGGCAATGTGTGTCGTAAAATGTGCTGGCGGCTGCATTATTTGCAGGAACGAAAGGGGCGTATTATACACCTATATTACTTCCATCACCACTTTTATCGGGTAGCGCGGCCTCTCGTGACAGGGAGAAGGAAAAGTGAATTAAATAGCACGTTCCAACTTCCAGTCATGCTGTGTACTGCTGGATGTTCATAAATGAAACACATACCTTCGCCGCTCACTCGTCAGTTGTGTTGTGCGAGACTCATGGACTGCCTTACCGTCACCATTCACCAGTTGGGTTGTGTATTGCAGCCATTGCATTGTATTATTGTATGGTATTACGTTCGTGGGGCTCACCACAATAACACGTGGCCTTTTCTACCTTGAATCAAAATGGGTACAGAAATAAAAGCGTACAAGCACTCAATGAAGCACGGCACTTGTGTGCCCGCCTTCTTCACATATTCACCAAATTGTGTTGCATGGGGCCGTTCTATACCCTATTGCATCACCATTCACCAGTTCGGCTGTGTACGCCCGTTCCAACCTCATCTCATCTCATCTCATCTCATCTGTATTTCACATATGTGCAACATATATAGGCATGACGAACGTCCTGGGATTGGTGCACAGCCACCTGATAATAATAATTTCTAATATAATAATAATAATAATAATAATAATAATAATTTCTGATAAAAGCCTGTTGTCGGTAAGATGCTGGTAAATACGCTTAAAAACAAGGCGCTCGAAAATTTTTGATAGACAGGGCAACAAACTGATAGGCCTGTAATTGGTTGGGTGAGATGCAGAACCCTTTCTTTTAAAAATAGCTGTAACTCTGGCCTCCTTCCAGCTAGAAGGAAATCTTCCCTCCGACAATGACTTGTTAAAAAGGGCGGCAAGAGGTTCATTAATTAAAATAGCTACTAACTTAATTATCTTGTTGGGTAGATTATCGGGTCCACAAGATTTGTTAACATTTAACGAATTAAGCGCGTTCAGAACTTCCTGCTCGGTAACCAAGATGTCGCCCAATTCGGGAATAGTTGACTCAGGGGGAGGAGGGAGCTCCGCTGGTCTTTCTGAAGTTGACTGCTTGGCAAAATGGGAATTTAGTACGTCCGCCTTTTCTTTGTCTCCTGTAGCTAGCTCACCATCGGGTTTTACGAGCGGTGGTATCTGAGATGTTTTGCGTTTTCCAATCATTTGTTTCAGAATCGCGTGATATCTGCGCGGATTTTGTTTTTCGGCTATTAATCTTTGCGACTGTTGAATTAAATACGACTTTTTGAGCCGTTTGTTAAGATCTGAGGTAGCATTCCTCTGCTGTCGCCATCTCTCCCAATCACTCGGCGAATCAGTGCGTTTGGCTATCCGAAATAACCTTTCTCGTTTCCGAATGAAACGTTTTAGTGTTGGTGTCATCCAGGATTTATCTGCATCCCTAACAGTAATTCGGCGCTTTTGAATCGCTTTAGAAGCTGCAGCTAGTATTGTTTCCGTAAAATCATTTGTTGCCCTGTCCAAGTCTTGATTTAAAATAACATCCCAGCTGACTCCAATGAGGAGATTAATGAGTAGCGCATGATCTATATTAGCATAGTCCCATACCACATGGGTGGTCCTCGTGTCAGCCTTTGTGGTTTCTATGTCAAGTGTAACGTAAACCGGCATGTGGTCAATGTTAGAGAAAGGTGACAAAGTGCCGCTCTGCATGACACTCTGAACGTCTGACACCGCAATTTGGTCTCTTAAATTGAAACAGTTGACAGATTTCCGTGTTGGCTCGCAAATAAGCTGATGCATGTCAAGCTCGGCATATGTGTCGAACAGCAGGCGATCGAAGCTGTTGATCCCGCTGTGCGTTACGCTACTGTTACTGAGGAAAATGTTACCACAATTTAAGTCACCCAACAGTACTATAGAAGACGCTCTGAAAGCCTGGGCCTTCAGCACATTTTCCTTTAATCTGTCTGAAAAGTCAAACTGTTGCTGCGCCGAGGGGTTGGGCGGAATGTAAATGCAGCACACAATTATTGATATTTCGCCTATTTTTACATTGGCCCAGATCCACTCTATATCGTTCGACTCGAAGTCGGTCAGTCTGTGCACTGCCAGGTTTGACCTGGTGTACAGTGCCACGCCCCCACCATGACGTGTTCGGTGTCGAGTTAGTGGCTCAGAGTAACCAGGGAGGTGGTACAGGCTCGGGTGGACGTTATTGTCGAGTTTTGTCTCTGTCAGGCAAATGATGTCAACATCGTTAATACGGGCAAAGTGAGAAAGCTCGTCAAGTCTGTCGCTTGCAGTGATGCTGTTGACATTGGCGTGGGAAATTTTCAGTTTTTTGTTGACTGGACCTGGGTTGGGTTCGACACCCCCAATAAGCAGAAGATTTAGAAGGTTGTGCAAGAGCGTCAGAAGTCTCTTTTGGGCTTGTGTAAAGTGAGTGTGCTGAGGTGTATAATAGCTGAATGAACGTGTCAAGTTGCTCCGATAATACGTATGATGAGAGGGGATAGGATTAGATTGGTTAACCTACCACCATCAGTTGCGTTTTGTATAATGGCCGCTCCCCACACGGTCATACCAATGGAAGCTGTGCTGTGTGCGCCCGTTCATGCCCACTATGTGCGCCCGTTCACACCCGCTGTGTGCGCCCGTTCACGCCCGCTGTGTGCGCCCGTTCACGCCCGCTATGTGCGCCCGTTCACGCCCGCTATGTGCGCCCGTTCACGCCCGCTATGTGCGCCCGTTCATGCCCCCTGCTGTCAGTAGCCGTTCTAGCCGGCAGTCTGCAGGGCGGTAAACATTGACTAATGGCGACCCGTGCCGAGTGCGACGGGCCGGACCGAACCACGGGCCGGCGGGAGGGCGAGAGCGGTACCCTGACGGGGAGCAGCAGAAGAGAGCCTATGGCAGGCGGCCAGCGGCACTTCGGTCTCAGAGGGGCGGTGGCAGACTGCCAGTGGTGCTCAGACCCCGGAGGAACAGTGGCGAACTGCCAGCGGTCGCCCGTTCCCCCGGGAGAATTAGGACAGGCTTACCCTCACGCCCGCTGGGACTGCCCTGTACGATACATCTGCCGAACATGACTGACACATGATGCTACTGAAGAGGCAAGAGAAGGTAGGTAACTATAGCATTCTTTTTTATTGTCATAGGCACACGTGCCATCACACGCCAATCATGCTGCACTGCATGCATCATGAATGGTTATGCCACTAAAAGGAAAAGGAGCATAACTTCACCTTGATCCAGCGAACATTCCTGCGATATCACAATAATAGCACATGTTTCTAGTTTCTGAGCTCTGTATAACAAATATAACATGCCTATCGAGTATCGAGCATTTACAATAAATGTCGATTGTCGAGCACTCATTGCTCGATTGTGATGACTGATTATACCGTGTACAATTTATCATACATACCTAATCATTGCGCATATGATATCCTAACTCAAACTGTTCGGTCAGATAAATACTTACGTCATGTGCCAACAGCAGTGTCGGTAACCAATAGCTGTGTCAAGTGAACGTATACCTATCGCTTCCATTTCTGCATGTCGTTTCACATCTATCCCCTGTTTTCGATCCCTCTACCCGTTTCATTCCTTCTCTCGTTCTCCGTCCCTCTGCGAATGTTCCCATTGACATCCCATCCGCCCGTTTCCCCACCGACATCCCATACGCCCGTTTCCCCATCGGCATCCCATCCTCCCGGCTCCCATTTCCCCACTCTCCCGTTCGTTTCCGCCCCTTCACCTGTAGTTGGGTCGACGCTGACTCGTTTTACCACACAACTGCACCACAACACCGACACTGGCCGTCTGACACAATGAACGCTCTCCCCTCGCGACCGCAGCACCACGGTCAGATAACGGACCTCCACATGCACACACACTGTGCCCCCCCCCCCCCCTTCCACACTGGCCTGATAAGTCCCGCAGGTAAACAGAATGGAGCCGGCATAGCGCCGAGTCAGCGAGCTAATGGTTTGTGGTTTCCAATCGTACTTGTCACTGTCAATCTCAGTCTCTGCACTTTTATCGGTGTACATAGTAAGCGCGAAACGGACAAGGAGGCGGGAAAAAATCGGTCTTGACATTCACTCTAACGTTTATGTAAAGGATGTGACCTGAAGGGCATAGGCAGCGGAATGGGGAGGGCACCGGGGCACCGTATCCCCATTTGATTTTGCCATTTTAACTGATTAGCCCTATGAGCGTTGGCGTTGCATGGAAATAATGGGACCAAAAGTCAGCAGTGCCCCCCCCCCCCCTAATTGAAGGTGTTCCGCCGCTACTGCTGAAGGGATAATAAAAATCCATGGACGTAAACGTTGACGTATTAGCGCAATGACGTGGCATATGCGTAATAAATTGCGCATAAAAGTCGGGCTTATGAGTCCCCATGTATCGGCGGGTCCAGCTTTGCACAAATGACGCGCACGCACCCCAATCTGTCGGGGATTGTGCCGTCTATATCGGTAGTAGGGCAGTAGCGCGCTCAGGAATGAATACGTTGGGCTTGCGGCAGCGTCATACGGTACGGACGTAGTGACTACTGACTATCGGGTTAAATCCGAAGACAGGCTACCGTGTAAGATCCAGACAGCGAGGTATGTCGATTTCGACCAGAGGCCTCTTGCACCAATCCTTGGATTCTATTGCGCCGGATACCCACTCTAAAACTCAAGTCTCTACCGTGATAGGTAATCTACCTATCACATCTGTCAAGCACTTGTAAATTCACATTATAAGCTGGTGCAAAAGAATCCTCCGTTGGTTAGCTCGTTATGAAATCGTTTTTAATTCTTATTCTATCAACCCAGGTATCTTGGTGCGAGAGACCTCCGGTCCGGCCACTCAGCGCACTTGTGTTACTGAGTACATATACGATAAAAAGCACTTAGTCGACATCGAGCTGCAGGAGTCTTCAAACCATCACAGGTGACTGCGTTGTTACCTTTACCCCGTGCCAGCCGACCCGGTCGATGAATTCTGTCAGTATGTTACTGTCAGTACTGTCAGTATACTGTCAGTATGTTACGCGACTGTTTGTACGACGTTCCATAAAGACACGCGAGTATCGCTCGATCAACCATCGTAAGCAGCGTGGTATCCATCCGCTACCATTACAAACATGATAAAATACGACAGAGACTGAGAGTCGTGAAAGTTCAACGGGACTAACACGGAGCTATATCGACGGCGGGATTCTAGGGAGTCATCCGGCCATGATCCCTGGAAACATCAATCGATTAAACAATTGCCCAAACGTATTTTCGTATCAAAACAATTTATTTCGAGAAAAGACTCCGTTACAGAAAGCATACACAGCGTTGCAGTTTCATTTTCAGAATTCGTTCCATGAATCAGCTATCATCCAACCCATGAGCGATGTACAAACATGTGTGAAAAAGTCTTTCCAAAATTAAAGGCATGCTAAACTTGGTTAAACCATCCTGAATAGTTGACATTCGTCTACCAAAATAACGCACCAATTATTCGGGTTGTGAGCACATTAAGCAACGGGCCACTAATGGTCCGCAGATACATATCCGCGCGCCGGCAGACCACCCCACACGACATGAGACGCGTTTACATATGTAGGGTTTGTTGCAAGCTTATATCTCCGTCCGTGATATTGCAAAAGATGCCAATGGTACTTAACAATTTACAAAATGATCCCCTCTAAATAGGGGAGAGTGGGGTAAGATGCCCAGGGTGGGAAAGACGCCCCACCCCCTTTAGCGGCGAAACAAACAATCGGACCTGGAAATTAATGTTCTTAGCGTAAAGCGGAAGCCTGCCCTGTTAACTGCACAACAAATTGCGAAGCTCAGTTGGGCAACGGCTGGCTGATGATTGCATGTTTTTTATTTGCTGCTTTCAAAAAATATTTTGGTGTCAGAACATTGTAAATATCAAAGAAGATAAACAATTTTTTCGTCCCTTGTTATAGTCGTGATACATTAGCATGCGTGTACTGTGTCCCAAACATTTTGTTTCAGGGTGTAGTTTTATGGCTAACAAATTGTACTGATTTAATGTTACTTCGGTACCTTGGGGTAAGATGTCCCCTGTCCTGATGGGGAAAGACGCCCCCCCTAAATCCGTAGGCTGTCCTTCAAACAGCCCGTCAAATCATTTATTACATACTTGTGATGTAGACAAAGCCGATCTGGGACTATTGAGAGTCCAGTACGGTCGGGTGCTCCCCATGCCGGTATCTCGGCCCACATAGCGACTTTTGGGCGGCATCTGACTCTGAGAGCCCTCACGACGGCCTCTGTGGGCCCCATTATTGGCTCCAGGGCCCCTCACGACATCCTTTGAGGGCTCCCACGTTGGCCCCACGGGCCGCGCTGGCATCGGAGGTCCCTACGATGGGCTCGAGGGCCCTCAAGCATCATGAAGACCTATAAGAGCCCTATAGTGGTCTCCGAACGCCACCACGGAGGCTCGTTTGGCCGCGCTGGACTATGATGGCCCTAACGATGACCTCTGAAGCCCCTCACGACTACTTTTGAGGGCCCTTATGATGACGTTTGGTGTCTACTGCAGGCTCGAAGGGACTACTGATTCGTTCAGGCGATTCACGTGCCCATTTATGTCACTTATAGTGCAGGGGGCATCTTTCCCAACGTCAGGGGGCGTCTTTCCCACCCTGTGGGGTAAGATGCCCCCTTTCACTTCTTCAGGAAAATGCTTAATAGAAAACAAAGTTATAATATTTCAGGCACGAAAGTGTGATATTTTTGGAGAAAAATGATGTCGGCTTCCGTTGAAACTCCAAGTTTTTGCTTTCCCATCGTCATTTTCGAATAATATATGACATAGCAAAACCCTGGGCATCTTTCCCCACTCTCCCCTACTTGAAGACCACTGCATCGAAATTATCGCCAAATAAACGAGCTAGAGCCTCGTCAAAAATGCTATGTAAACGCGGTCGCACTGGTCCGGGGCTGCAGATTGCGCTCCGGGGCTGCAGATTGCGCTCCGGGGCTGCAGATTGCGCTCCGGGGCTGCAGATTGCGCTCCGGGGCTGCAGATTGCGCTCCGGGGCTGCAGATTGCGCTCCGGGGCTGCAGATTGCGCTCCGGGGCTGCAGATTACGCTCCGGGGCTGCAGATTGCGCTCCGGGGCTGCAGATTGCGCTCCGGGGCTGCAGATTGCGCTCCGGGGCTGCAGATTGCGCTCCGGGGCTGCAGATTGCGCTCCGGGGCTGCAGATTGCGCTCCGGGGCTGCAGATTGCGCTCCGGGGCTGCAGATTACGCTCCGGGGCTGCAGATTGCGCGCTCCGGGGCTGCAGATTGCGCTCTCCGGGGCTGCAGATTGCGCTCTCCGGGACTGCAGATTGCGCTCTCCGGGGCTGCAGATTGTGCTCTCCGGGGCTGCAGATTGCGCTCTCCGGGGCTGCCAGAGGCCGCGCTGTGTTGTTCAGTCGGTATATCCGTCACCCTGTCACCGGCGTATCACGCAAACGCTGTGCACGTCCGTGTCAGCATCCTGGCACAGCTGCATCACAAAACTGTGACACAGACACTCGCAACGGTCGTCACGGAACCGGTGCTATGCCGAAAACCGCTGGTATCCCAGATCTACCACAGCTCACCACAGCCGTCACACTTGGCTCACGTTTTAGCTCACACGCTTTAGCTCGGCACTGTATCACTGCAGTCCGATGTGTCGACTTGGCCGCAATCAAAGTAAGGTCTTGGGTAGTTGGGTAGATACCAAAAGCCGGTAGACACATCAGAAGCGTTGTCGTCGGTCGGCTGTGGACGCCCAGCGCCGCTACTCTGGCGATCCGACGAGCGCCGGCGGCAGCTCCGTCCCGCCAGCTGCAGCTGCCAGCAGCCGGTCCAGCTGCTCGGTGTGCCGCCGGTCAGCCGACAGCTGCGCCCGCAGCTGGCACAGCTGCCGCTCCAGGCTGGCGCGCCGACCGGTCCGCGGCGGAGTGAGGTGGACTGGAGGAGGCGGGGGAAGCGGCGCCATCGCACCGCTGGCGTCACCTGGGTGAACGGGGAGAGACGTCAGCACCAGACCGCCCGGCTCTGTTGAATATTTTCATGTAAGCATGCACATTGCACACATCTACAGACCTTCGAATATCAGCCGACAGGGGCCGTACACCAGTAAACGGAGGCTTGCGAGGTTTGTGTCCGAATTTTAACACGAAATTACACGCAAAATGTTACCTCATAAGTACCGATACCGTCAGTCGGCTTTATACACAAACATCATACAGGCTCCCAATACCCCAGTCCGGTGACCAGCAGGAATAGCGCGCCTGGAGCGCACGGTGGCGCCACCTACCCTCGTCCACCAGCTCCCGCAGCCGCTGCTCCCAGTCCAGGGAGACGTTCAGTTCCCGGTCGATGTGAGTGCTGACATCTAGCGTCGGTCGACCGAAGCTGTGTCTCTCGGGTCGCCGCTTCACAGCGGGGCTGCACTCAACAGAGGTGTCCAGGGAACGTTTGGCGATGGTCACCGACTCGTCCAGGGTCAGACACTCTGCGGGTGAAAGGAGTGAGAAAATGAATCGTATCGAAACTCCAGAGGAGAGAAGCCTGCAGCCAGCGGGGACGACGTGAAAGCATGGTCTTGCTAACTTCCAGCAGCACTGTTGGCCAGGGAGGCTGAACGCATGGCCATTTCGCCAATCAATGTTGAAGAACAAACTCAACAAATAAAGCACTTCAAAAAGAGCAGTCAGTATTGCTATTATGTAGCTTAGCTTATTCGATTGTCACAGAACCCACAGAATTTCCAGCCCAGCCATGAGCCTCTCAAAGAGTGTGTGGACGCCGCGGTCTGCGGTACATACCTCCGGTGTGGCCGACCGAGGTGTACTCTGTCCACACGTCCGGTACAGCTGCGGTACAGCTGCGGTACAGCTGCGGTACAGCTGCGGTACATACCTCCGGTGTGGCCGACGGAGGTGTACTCTGTCCACAAGTCCGGCACGCGGAAGTTGTCCAGCTCGTCGGGCAGGTAGTACACCTCCTCTGAGCCGCTGAGTTGGTCCGTGCGCACCTCGATACAGCACTGAAAAAGACCGCAGGGCTAACGTCAAGCCACAGCGGGCGAACATCGCGGAAAGAAAGGGTGGGTTCAGTACACAATATCATCAGTAAGGAGTCTTTACAAATAAACGGTGAAACAGAACAACGATCAGATTCTCCACGCTAGGGTAAATACGCTTGAGGAATAGTTGTAGCGCTGGACCAGAGCGATTGGCATTTCTCAGCAAAGCGTTAACGTGCTGCAGCCAATGTCGGCTAGCGGAGGTGAGCGGACCCGCGACTCGTACCTGCACAATGTCCGTCCACGGCAGGCTGGCCGACAGAGGCTGGTCACCGACGTCCTCATCGAGAGGCCAGGCAGCACGGCGCAGCAGCTGCAGGCGGTCCCGCAGCAGACTCCGGACTCTGGTGGTGGGAAAGGGGAGACATAAGAGACATCATACAGCAGCTGCAGTCGCTCCAGCAGCAGGCTCCAGACTCTGGTGGTGGGGAAAGGGGAGGTAGGTAAGAGGGACGAGCGAGTGAATGAGGATTGGGTCAGAGCCCATAGATAACGGACACATTACACACGCTACTAGGAATGACGATATCACCGGGCGGAAAAAACTGCGGAAGGAGGGGGGGGGGGCAACTATCTAATGGGGCAAGCCAAAAGCCAAACGCTGCCGTGCATAACACATGAATGGTGCCCTATGTCCCCTTAATAACTGACCTGTACAGAGCCGGCGTGCCGTCTCCGGCTCCATCCGATAACCGTCCGACGTACTGCAGCACCTTGGCGCAGCACTCTGTCCAGCTCCAGTCGACGTCAACGTCCAGCGGGGGTAGTGAGAGAGCGCTGACCTCCTGAGGGACACAGGTCAGGTCACAGGTCAGCGGGGGCAGCGAGAGAGCGCCGACCTCCTGAGGGACACAGGTCAGGTCACAGGTCAGGTGTAGATGTTCAGCGCGGACAGCGAGAGGGCATGAGGGACGTCCAGGGGGCAGGGAACAGGCAAGGGCACATAGACAGTACTTGTTCAGGGAAGGAAGCCAGAGACAAAGACAACAAAATCCAGGGTTCAGACGTGAGATGGCAGGTCACAGTATAGCACACAAATAAATAAAGCAAAGCAGTGATAGTTTTTGTATGTAGATGGCTGTTTTTTCGCGTTATTCCCACACATCCATTCATTCTCGGCATCACTGCTTCCCTTTCCATCGAGTGCCGACACTCATCATGAATTCGTGACAACTTGTAGCTGTTGATATCCGCGCGTCAGCGCATGAAATATACCTTCGCCCCCGGTCATTTATTCACCCACTACTCTATTCGGCGCTCCATTCATCGGGGGTATTTTGACAACGGATTCTCGCGGTGTTCGTTCATTCATTCGCCCGCTCCATTCAGCATTCATACAATCGATATTCCTTCAGTCTAACCCTTGGCCGACGTCATACAGTCAATCATTCATTCTCGGAACTCGCACGTTAATAATCCGTGACGACGGCTATATCTGACCACATCCAGGAAGAGCATAAGTTTATCCGTCATCCATTCACCGCCAGTTCATGGAAATGCTACTACCCAGCCAAACACAGAAGTCCCAATTCCAGCTTAACAGTAATACCGTACAATCCAGGAAGCTACGCTCACAGTACACCCATGTCACTTACCTAAGTTACACTCCCCGATCCAGTAGCTGCTCCTGATCGTCTACCACCTGGTCTGGTGAGCCCTCTGATACCCATCCGGCATCCACCCAGTCCAGTAAAACCCAGACAGCCCGAAATCCTATAAAGTCCAGTAAGCCCCTCGTCCTAGCTCCAGCCCAGCAGCCCTGCGGACAGTCCCTCACCTATCCAGCCCAGCATCTTGCTCACCTGCTGTATCTGCAGTAGCCGCTCAGGCCGGTTCCAGCCGGGTGGCGGCAGGGCCGACTCGGGCCGCTCTGTAACGGCCCCCTCTGTCAGCTCGACCAGCTCGGCCGGAGGCCAGGAGAGGTCCGGCAGCGAGCCGCTGCTGAGCACCGCAGAGAGGTAGCGAACAGCCGTGTTATACAGAGAGACGGCCGCCACGGGACTCTGAAACAGAAGGATATCGAGACTGCGTTATACAGCGAGAACGGGGCCACCGGACTCTGAAACTGGGGGAAAGCAGAACTTTGATATGGAGCGCTACGGCAGCCACCTGGCTGTGGAATACAACGGTTCTAAAGTGTCAGATTGTATTTTATTCGAGGCCTCGAGACCTGTCCCTGCAAACACTCGCGCCTTCCGCCTTGCATAGTGTGGCGTACTAAATTACGTAAGGTAAGAAAAACTTTTATCCAAATTATTAATATCACTCCGAATTCGATGTTATGATTTGTGTATTTCAGGAGGCACCTGAGACGCTACACGGTCACGTAGCGAGAAACTACGGATGCATACCGCCCAGCCACCCTGCACCGGTGTCCCCCACCGACCATGACCGACCTGTTCCACGCGCTTCTTGTTCCGCCGCGCCTGCAGATCGGTGTAGAGCCGCCGGGTCACCTGAACACCGAGGAAGTCCTGAGCCAGGTGGCGCAGTCGGGCGGCCCGCAGCGGGGGCGGGGTAGGGCGGTGTTCAAACAGCCACTCCAGTGCCGATACCACCTGTGAGCAGAACGGGGTGGACGGAGGGTATACAGGTCAGGACGAATGGTAGCACCGGAGTTGGCGGACGGGTACCTTTTGGAAACAAAACCGTCACTCAAAACAAAGGATCGACTTCACCGTGAAATTAGATATGACTGATCATGTCACAAACTATCTCATTTCAACTATCAAGTACCGAGTAGCAAGCGAAACAAAAGGCACAAGCGGTAAGCCATAGCTAGTGCGACGGCCCGCCGGAAAACTAGACTCAGTCACCAGTTCCGTAATTTCCCATGGCAGCTGATACAGCCCCTGTGGAGCCCCTCTCCCTCATGCCTCGTCCACTAACCGTTTCTCCGCTCTGCACCCCGTCGCCGGGCAGCAGCTCGAAGAGCCGATAGGTGGTGACGGCGCCGGCCGCCAGCCGCTCGGGCAGCCGCAGCTGCGCCAGCGCCGCCCGCTGACCTCCCGCCTCCACCAGCACGGCCAGCGGCAGCAGCGGCTCGCGCGGCAGCTGGGCCAGCAGCTGGTGCAGCCGGCCGGCCGACTCGGGCCCCGAGTAGGCCAGCAGGAGTCCGGCGGCGCCGACCGCCTCTGCCGGCCGTCCCTCCAGCTGCCGGACACAGATCGAGAGCCGGCCGCCGCCCGGGAGCGGCACAGACTCCCGCTGCAGGACCTGTGGGTGCGGACCGGGCAGGAGAGGTTAGACCGGTGTGTGGGCGCTGTGCAGCAAAGCACCGTACCGTTTAAGAGCGAAAAAGCGACAAGGAATCATTAACACAAGAGACAACTAAACTCAGTAGGCTCATAAAACCCAACTGACGAGCCGTGGTGATGTCACAACGGTAATTCACGCTACCCAGTTCGTATCCTTAAAATTAATATGTGTGGAGAAGGAAATCATGGCCTCCCACTCCCGATGGAGGCCCCAATGTCTTGTCTCCCTTTTTTCACTGTCTGGGTGTCTGGGGCGCATAGCGACACGGGACCGCCGGCTCGCTGGCCGGCTGCCCGTCCGGTCACGTGCTTGCGTCCCGACACCCACCATAAAACCTATGTTCTCTAAATACACTCTCTCACTTCTCCTCTACCGACTGTGACGCCAACACCATCCGCGGACCCCGGCTCCGACAAGGGCGGCCGAAATGGCCGGCCCACAATTGGTGCCAGCGGTGGTGGTTGGTTGTCGGTGGAGGATTTTTGGCTTCAGGTGAGTTCTCTTTAAATTCATTTCATTTGCTATTTGTGATGTTTGAAATTTGAGATTTGATATTTAGTTCCATTCGTTTTTTACGTGTTATTTTTTTTTCCATTATTTAGTAGGCTAACCATGGAAAATGCTACCAGGAATTTTAGTGTTGAGTACAATACCCAGATGAACGATATTTTAAGGCGAATTGCTCATTTAGAATTAGCTGTAGCGGAAGAGCTTGTTGCTCAACAAAATCAAAATCCATCACAATCTCAGAGCCGAGGACGTGATCGTCAATTTCGTCAGCAAAAATACCGTTATCCACCTGTTCGCTCGAAATCACTTCACTCTTCGCATCATTGCTGTCAAGAAAGAAGTCATTATTTTTCAAATTCTTATCACCATGAATTTTCTAGCTCTCACCGAAACTTTTCACTGCGTCGAAACTGTCGTTCTCTGAGCCCAAACGGGTTCCGCTCACTGCACTAGGGGATGAGTGCGTGAGCGTTGCTTCAGATGACAGGGACCGTTCAGCACATCCCCCGGTTTTACGTGACGTCAAAATTTCGGGTCAAACTTGTTCAGCTCTTTATGATAGTGGAAGTAGTGTCTCTTTAGTTTCAGAAAAATGTCTGCAAAAATCTGGTTTAAAAGTAGCTTACGAACCTCCCAGTGTCTCTATTCTTGATGTTACTGGAAATCCTATTGACGTTGTAGGTGAAGTCAATCTTAACATTAGCATTCTTGGTCAAACAGTTCAACACAAATTTTTCATTACAGCAAAAAGTTTGCCATTCAAATGCGATATCATTCTCGGAATCGATTTTATCATTGCTCACAAATTGATTTACAATCCATCGAGTCGTACGGTGAACTTTCTAAAACCAATTCTTCCTTCCAGTGTAGTCGAAAGACGCTCAAAACGTCTGAGTCCCAAAAGACGTAAAAGAGTACGTTTTCTTTTATCAACAAAGGACAATGAAAAATCTGTCGATCAAATCGTTTATCCTGATAAAATGGTAGACATGTTCACAACTGCAGAAAACATCCATTAACTATTGATGACGAAAAGTCATATCCATTGTTCGTGAAACAAACAGTGGAAATTTCTGGTTACAGCGAAAAATTTGTACGTGTTAAATTACCACATTTCCTACAACCAAATGAATTTCCATACCTAATTCAAACGCATTGTGATCAAAGTATTCGAGACATTCAGGTTGCCCGTTCTATCAATTTCTTAGAAAATTCAGGCACGCTTGTACGCGTGATTAATGCTTCAAGTAACCCTATCATTTTGAAAAAAAAAAAAATCAGAGGATCGCACAAGCCCATCCGACCAAAAAGTACCCCTTCAGTCAGGTCACAGACCGACCCCATCCCATCAGACAGGACGCTGACCTTGCTCAGTACCATGGGTCAGTCAGTGCCTGTCAAACAGCGCCGTCTGTTCCCAATTCCGCCAGCGTCTCGCCACAACAAAAAAACGGTCGCTGAGCCGGACTTGGCTGCGTCAGACACCGGACGCAGAACAGAGATAAACAATCCGACGACCTCTATCCCGAGGACGTCAGGGCACAGGTCTGTCAGTGACATTGATTTGAAACACATCCCAATACACTTTCGTTTTAAACTCCGTGAACTCTTAGACAAACATCGACATGTCTTTGGAAATGATATTTCTGACATACAACAGACAGATGTTTACAAAAATCACAATGGATTCACAGACCACACTCCGGCTGATCAACGAACAAGTCCCCCATTTGCTCATCGGGAGATAACTAAGGAAAATATTAAACGCATGGTAACAGCCAGAATTATCAAACCATTAGTTTCACCATATAACTCTCCAATCATTCTTATCAAGAAATCAAATGGTCAATATCGCCTCGTTTCAGATTTGCGACTTCTCAACTCCAAAATCAAGGATGACAAGTTTTCTCGTTCATTTACATAACAGGTCAAAGATCAACTTTCTGACTGTGAAGTTTTCTCTACCTTGGATTTGCTTAGTTCATTCCACAAAATTTATTTGAATGAATCTTGAAATCACTCTACGGATTTTACAAATGATGACGACAAATATCATATGAACGATAAACCAATGGGTCTTCGTTCAAGTTCCTCCGTTCTCAACAGAGGGTTGCAAATTGCACTCAGTAGTCTACAAGGCATAGATGCATTTTTATATGTTGACAATATTCTTATCGCTAGCAAAACATACGACGAGCATTTAGAAAAACTCGACAATATATGTTCTCGTTTAGAAGAAATTCATCTTGTGATCAACCCCGAAAAGTGTGAATTCATGAAATCTCAGGTAAAGTATCTGGGTTTCATACTTGACAAACATGGAATTCGTCCAGATGCATCCAAATTACAAGCGGTACAACATTTCCCTGTACCAGAAACAGCGAAAGATGTTCGTATTTTTCTTCGGTTTACGAACTTTTATCGCAGACACATTCCAAAACTGGCTGAGTTTACTGCTCCGTTAATTCATTTGACAAAGAAAAATGTTGATTTTATTTGGTCAAAAGAGTGCGAAAAAGCATTCTCATCGATAAAAAGGTCACTACGAAAATGCGCTTTATTAAAATTTCCAAATTTCGAAAAAGATTTCTACCTATTTACACATACAAGTGATTTCGCTATCAGTGGCGTACTTGAACAAAAATATGGTGATGAATTTCACCCAATCGCTTTTATTAGTCGACAGCTTAGCAAAGCTGAAAGAAATTATTCTACTTCAGAAAAGAAATGCTTCGCAATTTCATGGTCTTTTGATCATTTGCGATCTTATCTTTTAGGTCATGTCACTCATGTCATGACAGATCATTCACCATTAAAATATATCTTCAAGTCAACTCATCTTAGCGGTCGTTTAAAGAAATGGTTAGTAAAACTATCAGAGTATGATTTTGATGTCACGTATCTACCAGGTATTTCGAATGTTACAACTGATCATTCGTCTAGTGCCGAATTAGATACACAAAACAAAGCAGACTTTCTTGGCCATGTCTGTGCAGAAACCGCAGGATGGACAAAAGAGAAAATCAAAGCTGAACAGAGAAAAGACCCAGATTTGATGCCAATCATTGATCGCCTCGTGAAACCGAAAGCTAAAGGCCCTGATCTGAAGCTGAATGAATCTCTTTCCAACTTTTTCTTAGGTTCAGATGGCCTACCTACTTTACCATGTAGCCAAACAAAATTCGAAGATTCGTCAGTTTATGAAACAGCTTGTAGTTCCAAATTCAATGAAAAAACTGATGCTTGAGAAAGTCCATGACACTTTTTCGTCAGGACAAAAGTTATTTAGAAACATTCTTTCCAAAATTCGAGTTCAATTTTACTGGAGGAACATATACTCCGATGTCAAAAGGTATGTAGACTCCTGTCGTTTTTATGTACACCAAAGTGCTCACAATTTTCTAAAACGTGCACCAGTGCAACGCACGATTACACAAGAGCACCCTAACATCAATCGTCAAGAAGACGATCAAATCGACACCTGCGTCGACTCACAGTCTCTCAGCAACGAATCTGCCATTCGTTCCGTGGGTAATGCCTCACAGAGCAGCAACAACGGTGCACGTTCACCTGTTACACTGCCGGCAAAGCCAGGGACGTTGGTGACTCCTTCTGAAGAGAATGGGATCGACCAGAGTGATCTTACACGGCTGGAAGAAGATTGGCGAAATTGTCGAGCAGGCCGAGAGGTTAGTCAGGCTGATCACCTGCGGTATAACCTCTGGTCTCGCAAAAACATACGCCCCCCAGACCGTCAAGAAGGAACATAGCGCTCACATAGCGCCCATTTAGCGCTCAAATATATAATTTGCCTGCAGAAGACATGCTGCGTTACAATGAGGTTGACGAGGTCCCTCACGCGCATGTAAATAGCCGACGTACGGCCAAAAATGGTGACAGAGATCCCATTTCACGTGATGCGAACGAAGGTTGATGATTACGTCCCTCGCGCACACCGCCAGCCAAAGGCTGAGCAAAAGGTTTACTCAATGTAAACGGAAGAGAGCAATTGCAATTTCATTGAGCTCAATTCATTGTAAATAAAGCATCCACGATATATATGCTAGTATGAGAGGTGAATGATTCTCATTTGTATGATTGCCAAAACCTATGTTGTCGCTTGCTGTTGCCATCTTTCATTTCTTTACATATGTTGCAATGTCAAAAATGTCTTGATACTGACACATTAGCCCTGTTTCTTTTTCAGGTTCGTGCTTCTTGTGGCGGAACGAGTGCAGCGTCAAATAATACCCAAAAGACATGCATGCTTCTCGATATTCCCAATTAATTTACAGTATACTTTATCGAACTAACTACTGATTAGCTTTAATTTTGGTCATCTGGTAAAAAAAAAACGACTTCTATAACATTGACCAATAACTTTTGGCCATTCTGAACAATTTACACCAGCGAAAGTAATAAGTGGCAATAAAAAATTGTCCACAGAAAGTTTGCCAATTCAACAATTTACCAGCGATATAACTACATTAGAAGTATTGCTGTTTGCATGCCTTCCCAAACGATTTCACGGGTATGACGTAATACACAGATGCACTCGTTCAGAAGACGCCACTCTTTAAAAGGACTTCATTTTTTTCAACCATATATTTTTTATTGAACAACTAAGTAAGTTCTAACACAATAGTTAGATATTCCAATAACACTTAAACCCACTAAAAACATTGGCCTCTTCAATTTATTCGTTAAAGTAAGTCACTTGGCAGTACTATTAAAACCGGTCTTTTGCTATAGTCATTGGCTCATTAGCCCCATTTTTTCTCCCTTACTACTCACTTTGCGACGTAAACGATCTCTCGATCGACTGACCGGCGGTGCTGCCCGTTTTTAAAATCATTCAATGTTTTGCTATCCGCTGTGTCAAAACATGTCTTCCGTGTCATTTATACCATGATGTCTTCCAATGAATGTTCAGCCTTCACAAAGTTCATACTGCCGTTTTATACACAATTGTTATCACACACCAGGGAAAATGTATCACTGACCGGCACAGCGATAGCACAACATTTTAACAAAAAGTGTATGTGGATGCATGTTTGAATACTTGGACACGGATACAAATTTGAATGTCCTACGGACCCGAATGTTTTGGCCTTTGAAAGTCCATGGGTTCCGTGGCACGCCTGGGGAAGCATTACGACACTTGTGTCGCCCAGTGCTACGTGCCTTTTGTACAAATGTTGCACTGTACAGCTGCAAATATGAATGACTGTTTTGTATGATGTATATGTTGGGGCATTATTTCGGCACATTTTAATTCGGTTCTTTTTCTATTACAGCCCTTGAGTTTCTGTTACCCATCTGGGAGTGGCCACTATCTGACTCCCCGAGCATCGACTACGGAGAAACGCCGATACGCATCACGGTCTGCAAAAGCTGGCTGATGATAGTCATGATGGGATTGGACGCTCATCGCCGACCCGTCTGGCTGTCTCAGTCGCTCTGCATCTGGTCCACGAATCACACACTGCAACTGCGGACGCCATCACCGACTGCAACGGCTGCAACTGCAACCAGCAGGTGGCCTAGGTCCAAAGCCAACGCCTGGCTGACCCTCATGGCCGCCTGCCGTCGCTGCTACCCCGTCTGCGCTTCGTGCTTCGCTGCTCTCTCTGTCAAATCGTCTCGTCAAGGTCGTCACCAGTGCCATCCGCCATCAACATGGATTACACACCATCGTCGTCACCAACGTTGTCGATCAACATCAAGGAGACCAGCACTCCGCAACCGGTTCATCTTCTTCCGGTATGCTGAAGCCCTCTGGTATCGATGCTGTGCGGCGGCAGCCGTTGCTCAAGGACGATCGAGGCCTCATCGTCACGGCACCCACGGCCGCTGCCCCTCACGATCAAGTCGGACGTCAGCATCAAATCCGCAGAGATGTCTGGTTCCACGAATCGACAACGAATCAACAACGCGGCGACGACGACGACGACGACGACAAGAACGAGACCAACAACTCGGACACCATCAGCAGCAGCGACAACAGCAGTTGCACCAGTAGCAGCAGCAGCCGTACCTGCAGCAGCAGTCGTACCTGGCGTTCCATGCGCGGTGTCATACGTGGATCTATGCAGTTAGGATCGTGATTGCTTATTGGTCGCCTCCTCTTGTCGGCTTGTTGGGGGAGGAAAGATATGTGGAGAAGGAAATCATGGCCTCCCACTCCCGATGGAGGCCCCAATGTCTTGTCTCCCTTTTTTCACTGTCTGGGTGTCTGGGGCGCATAGCGACACGGGACCGCCGGCTCGCTGGCCGGCTGCCCGTCCGGTCACGTGCTTGCGTCCCGACACCCACCATAAAACCTATGTTCTCTAAATACACTCTCTCACTTCTCCTCTACCGACTGTGACGCCAACACCATCCGCGGACCCCGGCTCCGACAAGGGCGGCCGAAATGGCCGGCCCACATATGCTTCAGCCTACAAAATTAGTTCACTACCAGCTGCACGGACTAGCAGCAGCGGCACCATCCGTCCCCACCACCACTCCTACTCACACCATCAGGCAGCTCCACCGTTCGTCCTCCATCAGTATCCAGTTTCCCTAGCAGCCACTGTGTGAGCGGACAGCCGGCCGGCGCGGGCACGGCCAGTTTCCAGAGCAGGTGGCCGCCGGAGGGGGGTGGCTGCACGGCCAGAGCGGGAAAGTACAGCAGCCACGCTCACCGGCTGACTGGAGAGCCGGTCGTGCAGCAGCAGACTGCACAGACTGCCGTCTGATGGAGACAGAATCGGTGGAGTGGGTCAACGACAAACTCGGATACCGATAGAATGCATGGATATGGATACCAGCCCAATTTTCCAAAAACAATGACGTGTGATCGACAGAAAAAATACGACAGGAAAAACTATTATTTCAAAACGATTCCATGAATCATCTCGTAAAAGTCGGATGTTGACGGGTACTGACCTACCCGAAGGTCGGCGGGCAGGGGGCATGGGTGATAATCTACCTGCCCAGAGGTGGGCGAATGGAAGGGTTAGAGACAGCAGAGACTCACCTGCCCAGAGGTCGGCGGGAGGGGAGCAGCGGGGGTCGGTGGGGTGAATATGATTTACCTACCCAGAGGTCGGCAAGAGCCGATAGGAGAGGTTAGCCCGGTAGGTTCCTAAGTACCCTAATTCACCTACCCAGAGGCCCGCGGGCGGGGAGCAGGGTCGGTGGGGCGATGATTTATCTGCCCAGAGGCAGGCGCACACAGATCCATCGCAATTTCAAATGTGGCCAAAACCTCGAATAATGACCATTTGTAAATTCCCTCAGTGAGTGGTTTTTAACACAAAACGGATTGAAGCATCTGAAATCACCTTCGGCATATTTTTTAACCACCTGATCTCCACTCACCGCAGTCGTGAACCTGGAACTTCTTCGGAAGCGCATGGTAGACCCAAAAGACATGTGAAACGCGCACAACTTTGAGTGACTGTAACATTGTAATTATTTGATCGAAACCGCAATAAATGGGCATCGCTGTGTTGCATGGTTCGTGCTGAAAATTTTGGTACCAAAAATAATGTTTTAGCTCGTCATCAATGCCATGCTAATTAGCAATGTTCGGGCACATGCATCACAGTCCGCATTTTCACTCATCGCATACTTGACAAAGGCCTACAAGAAAATCATCAATCGCCCCCCCCCCAAATTCGAATGGCTTAAAATGAGCCTGAGAACGTTCACAAACGGTTCCCGAAAGAATAAGCTGGGCATCAGTGGTCAAACTTTTGCTATGGGGGCAGAAGTGATGTGATGTCGGGCGGATTCGGCCGGCCGGCTGACCCGCGAGTCAGCGTCAGCTGTTGCTAGGCTGGGTCAGGGTCGACCGAGGTCAATATTGGCTGGTTGCCAGCGGGCGGGGAGGCCACGGGAACTGCGTGAATAATAAACAATCCTTGGCCGTTTCGGTCCGTGACTCGCTGTTCGCTCCATTTCAACCGTGAGTCGTGGCAGCGGAGAAGATAGCGGTGTGTTGGAGCCTGGAGGGAGATGCACCTGTCGTTTTGTTAGCAGATCTTGACAATGGAGCTGCGTATCAGTAAAAAAGTATTTTTTGATGCCGTTATTGAAGGAGGGATGCTGTCCAAGCAAATGAAGAACAGCACAGTGCATGCCGTGCAGCTTGGAGAGAGCCTGGCGGAGATAGAGTGCGATGGCCGGTGGTCAAATGAGTGCGCCTTTACTTTGAAAAATTTTCACAAATTCATTGGAGGTAAAAGAATCAACATGTGAAAAATAAATTCAGGCCTATAACACGTAAAATGATGAGAGGATTCCAAATCTGGTCGCAAAATTCAAATCGGAGAACATTTGACTCCTGTTTTGGCCAAAAACTGTCCAAATTTGCCCAAATTGGATATTTTGCCTATTTTCGACAGTTTTTTTTGCCAAAACAGGGGTCAAATGTTCTCCGATTTGAATGTTACGACCAGATTTGGAATCCTCTCATCATTTTACGTATTACAGGCCCAAATTAGGAACGAGTTTTACATTTTCATTTTTGACCTCCAATGCATTTTTGAATTTTTTTTCAAAGTAAAAGCGCACATAGTAAAACGCGTCGGAATGATTTCATATTTTGCACTTTTCATACTCTCACCAAATGCAACCAGACGCAGGGAGGGAACCGATGATCCCAGACAAAAGTGTTTTTTTTACGAGCCCTAAAATAATCCCTCTTCAAAATTTCGCGTATCGCAAAAAAATGTGGTTTAAAATGGCAGAAATATTTCTCATTTTCTAAGAGCGTGATTAATCTGCTTTCATTTGAGCCCTTTATCACATCTCTAGCTTCCGTAGTTTTTGCGCTAGAGGTTTTGTCCACATTTGAATTCGAGATGGACCTGTGTGAGGCGGGGAGTAGGGTCAGTACTGGTGGTGAACTAACCTGCCCAGAGGTCGGCAGGCGGGTGCGGCGGCTCCCTCGGTCCGCCCAGCAGGCGCAGTGCGGTCGCTGCGTCGTGCAGCGGCCGGCCAGCAGGGAACAGACGCTGCTCGGCCCGGAGACGACGGCCGTCCTCCGCAGCGCGCCGCCAGCGGCCCAGCATACGGCGCAGGGTCAGACAGTGACCTGGGGAGGTCATATGAGGTCAGATAAGGTCACACTCTGACCCGACTCCGCCGCCAGCGACCCAGCATACGGCGCAGGGTCAGGCGGTGACCTGGGGAGGTCATAGGTCACACACAGTCAACCTCTGACCTGACCTCGCCGCCAGCGGTCCAGCATACGGCGCAGGGTCAGGCGGTGACCTGGGGAGGTCATACAAGGTCACAATATGACCTGATCTAACAGCCAGCGGTCCAGCATACGGCACAGGGTCAGACGGTGACCTGGGGAGGTCAGATAAAGTCACACACGGTCACACTGTGATCTGACTCCGCCGCCAGCGGGCCACCATCCGGCGCTGGGTCAGACGGTGATCTGTGGAGTCATGACAGACTCCATCACCTGTTTTCCTTCAGTCCAGTCTGACCAGATTCAGTCACTCTAAGAGTCTAGCACCTGTACCAGGCAACACCCACTCACCGATCTCTGTGAGTGTCTGGATGAGTGCCTGTCTCTGGCGGCGGCACTCTGCCAGAACCTCCTCCGCGGTGCGGCGTGCCAGCCGGTCAGCTCCCTCCGTCCATAGTCGCAGGTGTATCACGGCTACCGCACTGTCAGGCAGGAGAAGTAACAGTGAGTCTCGATGGGTGACTTCGGTTGGTAGATCTATAAATTGCGATGCCTAATGAATGTCCGATTTTATCTGGATACTGCAAGGATTATGGCCACAATGTATTATTTTTCATGCCAACGTAGGTCCAGTCGAGTCAGTAATGCTAGCGTCATGTAAGGAAAAATGAAAATCATGGGTTTGGATTGTTGGGCAGCAAGAAATGTCCCTTCCATCGAACACACCGACATAGCTGTACGCCGCTTCCATGCCACACACTGAGAGGCCGGCCTCACCTGTGTTTGGCCTGCACGTTCAGCATCTCCTGTTCGGCAATATCGGCCGTCTCGTCCAGACACACCTCGGCAATCAGCGTCTCGGTGAGCACCGAGCTGAGCCGGTCCTGTCGGCGGAGTATCGGGTGGGCCGTCAGTAACCGTGTGGATGTGGGGCGGGGTAGTCGAGTCGCGAGGATGCGAGGACACAGACTCGTAATGACGGGAGGACAGCATGAGCAGCATTGGCAGTGGGAGATATATGGCTGCAGCCCAACCCCTACAAGCATTCAGGGCTGCAAGGTTGTTTGATTCATTCAGTCCCACAGCAAGGCGATCATGATCCTGTCAGGACATAAACCGACACGGGTTACAAATTCCGACATATCTCCCACACAGTTGTCCTTGCCACAACCTGTTGGTCCGACAGGGCAAGGGCAACTGTTTTCGTCCTTCACCTTCATCTCCTGATCCCTCCTGGCTCGCTCCTGCTCCTGCAGCTCCCTGGCGCGCCGCTCCTCGGCCTCCCGTCTCCTCTGTTCCTGGAGCCGCTTCTGCTCCTCCTGGAGTCGACGCGCCTCCGCTAGCTCCAACTGACTCACGCTCCTATACAGGGACAACATTGTCAGATCAATCGCGCATGCTAGACGGGGAAAGACGACAGAAGCTAAAAGAAACTGAACAATATACGTGATAAATATGCGGTGCAACTTATGGACAGCTGCCTACAAAAAATGACAATTACCCAACACGTAAACATGTCACATGAAAATGTCGACCGGGGAACATCACCAGAAAACATTCACAGTATGTCTCCATCCTGTTTGCTCTCCTCACGCCTATCGCTCACCTGACCATCTCCTTGACCACCTCGTCCACGGTCGCCTGGAAGAGCTGAGCGCACATCTGGCGCGCCGCGACTGCGGCCGCCAGCAGCTGCTCGGCCTGCCGGCGGGTCTCCTCCACCACCACCTCAGTCACCAGCTGCTGGCCAGCCGCCGCCTCGGCCGCCCGCTCGCCGTCGTCAGCCGGCGGCGGAGCGGCCTCCGCGGCCGGCTCGACCCCGCCCTGGTCCTGCGCGTCCCAAGCCGTGCGGCGCAGCACGCCATGCGCGTCGAAACTGTCGTGCGGGCGGTAGGAGGGTAGTGGATCGGCCGGCAGCGGGCCGCCCTGGATCGCCTGGCCGATGCTCAACTCTCGTTTGGCGTCGATGAGCGTCGGACACCTGCGCAGCTCGGGCGGTGTGTCGGGCACCTGGAACTGCACCCGCTCGAGGAACGCGGTGCCCTCCTCGGACTCGATCCCGTGCTGGCGTAGCGCTGAGGCACACTCCTGCTCGCTCTCGAAACCGAGCATTTCCTGCAGCTGTGTCAGTGGAAACTGCCGGCAGAAGAGCGGAAGGACGACTGCATGTGAGGGCCAGCATATAAGGGGGTGGCTCAAATGTAAACACTGACATATAAGACTTCTTGTACAGTGTAAGTAACTGAACACGAGCAGTTCGTCATAATGAATGAATTAGATCGAAAACCGGGAGGAACAACACAAGATGGGGACCCTCAGACTCCTCATCCACAGCCATCAGGAAAGCCAGCAACCACCTAACAGATCAACAATTTTTGCCAACCGACACCCATCACACCGGCAGCCTCCCTAACACCGGACGGGTGCGTTACTCGGACTTGAAGCGTCCCCCACTCCGGCCCCTCCCGATTCTCTTACCTCGACGACCGCCTTGGCCGGGCAGTAGGTGCGTGTGATGACGTCCAGGGCGCGCGTGCGGACCTGGTTGAAATAGCGCTGCAGCAGGCACGAGGCCAGGTAGCCGGCGCGGCGCACCAGCTTGAAGAAGCGCACGTAGTTGTTTGAGGAGAGCGCCACGTACAGTCGGAGCGCCGCCTGCACCTCCGGGGACTCACGGACCTCGTCACTGTACGTCTGCGCCTCCCTGCAGGGTCAGCGGTAGGGCAGAGAACGCGGTTATCGCAAAAAGGTGCTAATCACTGAACTGAAATAATAACATCCAACGTGTAGAGGTCAAGTAGCATGGTCACGTCAAGATCTCTATGCCTCCTTGAGAAAATATATATGAATCTGTCTACATCTATATCCTAGATCCATCTCTATCTCGTTGATGACTGAGCGAGAGGATAATCCTGATCGCTGATGATGTCTTCCTTGTGATGGCGAGCGTCGAGCGGGTTGATGTCCCACCTGAGCATGTCACCCTGGTTAGGGCTAAACAAGCTGCTGTCCTACCTGAGGGTGTCTCCCTGGTTGAGGTTGAGCAGGATGTCGTAGGCTCGAAACTCGGCCTCTCGCTCACACCGGACCCCTTTCAGGGACAGGTCGTGGTACATGTGCTTCAGAGTCTGAAACATACCAACAGAGCAATGGACACCGCTGCTCATTTAAAGTCGCTAAAACAATTAACCTCCATCTCAAGCAGCACCGTTGTAAATGGAAGCCTGTGGACACTAAATATAAAAGACTAGAGAAGCCACAGTCTACACAATCATGATTCAAGAGTCAATAAATTATATGAAGCATCAGATAACAAAATAACCTTTATCTAACAGTGGCCAGCGCACCAGCCGGCCACCAGGCTGCTAACCGTCCCACCTGCAGACACTTGGTGAGATTCTCGTTGTTAATCTTCTGGTCGAACATATCACGAGAGAGCTCGCAGAGCGCGGCGGCGCAGTGCACGTGGAAGCGGGCGCACTTTTCCACCAGTCCGACCGAGACCTGGTCGGTGAGCTGCTGTTGGGTGATGTCCTTTCGGATGCCGCGAGTCCGATCCCAGATGAAATGGAACCTGTTCAAAGACAGGGGAGATTGTCGATGAGTACACCGCAATGAGTTCGCAGTGGCAATAAAAAGATAGATAAGATAGCATAGGTGAGAAATGAACACAGTCGAATAGGCCTATCCGTATCTAAAATAAAACAGCGTGCCCGACACCGACATCCAAAATGAATAAATTAGATGTTCCAGATTGGTAGTGGAAATAAGAGATGGATCCACCCACTCATGCCTCTATACAAACACCAACATTACCAGCCCAGTGCCCTGCCCGTTCCGCCCGCTCTCACCAGTCGCCGGTGTCGCGCGTCTCGGCGTCGGTCACGTGTGTCACCAGGTAATCCATGGTGCGCAGCAGGGCGGCCGGTGTGCGCAGCTCATGCGGCAGCGGCTCCTCCTGGTCAGCAGAGCTGCGAGAGTACTGCTTCACCGCCAGACGGTGGTCCATCTCGAAACCGCCCTGTAACCGAGAGCACCACATGGTCAGGTGGGTCTCAGGGCGGGACAAACGACAACACATATGTAATTCGCCAAATGCACGTAAAAGATAGCATGAGAGCAACATCGTTACGCCTTGAAAATTCATATTACCTCACAGAACAATATTGAAAGTTTCGGAGGAAGATATCTATGTTCAGCTTAGATCTGGGCCTTAAATAAAGAGTGAGACAGTTTTGTGACACAAAACACAACCACCTTTGTTTGGACGCTATGACTAAGCAGTGCGGATTTTGGACTAACCTGCCTGTCTCTGTCCCGCTCGTACTGGCCGCTGATCTGATGTTTCTCCTCTCGCATGTATCGCTCCTTCTCAGGACACATGTCGGGGCAGGTACCGACCAGAGGGCCGGAGCGAGCCGGACCCTCGCGACGCAGCGCTGGCAGACAACACAGATACGGGCTGGTCAGCTGGAGACAAATGGCAAATGGGGCCAAATATTCCACATTTCGGAAATGGGAGACAATTGCCATCCACCGCAAGACTCGAGGAAGAGTAAAACAGCAATGTATCGTTGAATTCGGAAATTACTCGCTCTTACTCTGATCTGAGCAGTAATTTCTGGTTAACTCATCCTGTGCTACTGGTGAGCGTGTACCTCCAGGACTCTCCCCCCCCCAAACTGCATTGTCCTTCTTCATCCTCTCTCAGACTGCCCTCCACTCCTCCACTTCTTATGTCTCGCCCAGATCAACCCTCGCTTTCTGCCCGCCTGTCCTTTCCCTCACCGCTCCACTGACCTGCCCGCTGCAGTTTGTCCCTGGCGTCCAGCACCCTGAAGCGGTCGCTGGCCGAGGCTGCCGGCTGTCGTAGCACCGCCCGCAGCTCGGACACGTTCACAGCCGCCGCGGGCGCCGCCGCCGCTGCCGCCGGGACTGCAGAGGGCGCCGGAACGGTGGCCGTGGCGGCTGCAGGGGCACGGCGAGCCTTGGGCTCCGGCGGCGCCTCGGCACGGCGAGGTTTGGGTTCCGGCGGCAGCTCGGCGCGACGAGGCGGGTCTCTGGTGGCACATAGAGTAACAAACGTTAGCGGGGGAGTGCCGCATGACGAGGGAGGTAAAATAGTAACGAGCTACAACAACGGCTTGGTAGTTCGAATCGACTGCACTTTGACTGAGTGGTGTTGGTAAAATTAGTATTCTTCTTCCCAGTTACGCCACCCAGTCTTGTATTTCTGGTAGCGATTTGAGCTCACTAGCCATGTGCCTAATACATTGCCATGTGCCTTGCCTGCCTGGCACTTAAACTCTCTCAGACACTTCAATCCCGACATTGTTTCAGACTATCACCAGCTCTTTCCTCAACGACTTCAGCGGGTGGGTTCAGCAGGCGCCCGGCGACTCTTACCGAGTGTCGCCAGTGCCGGCCATGTTGCGCAGCTCATCCGAGACGTCATCGTCCAGTGGCGGCAGCGGGCGGCGCGCCGGCTCGGCCGCCGCGCTCTTCACCGGCCGCCGGAAATAGAGGCTCATCGGCGGCAGCTTCGGGTGGACCCGCGCGCCGCGCCTCTTGGCGGCGTCGGCGGCCGCCTGTGGGTGTGATGGCGGTCAGGAAGCGAGTCAGAGGTCACGGTAAATGTGGGCCGTGGCGGTGTGATGGCAGGTCAGAGAGTAGGTCACACGTCACGGATGCATGTCAGTAATGCCAGCGTACGTACTAAGTACTACGTACCGTACAGTGTCAATAGTTTCACCACAATCGGAAGTTTATAGTCCGTGCATACAGATCGTCCATATTAAGCTCGTTATTCGTAACTCATCGTCTCTATACGGCAGACTCACATGATCGGCGAAATGAATGGATGCCGTGTTCTTGGCCTTGTTGCAAGTGACTTTGACGACCTGGCCGAACTTTGAGAAGTGTCTGGTGAGGATGGTTCGGTCGTTGTTCCCCTCGGGCACGTCAGTGCAGAGCAGTGAGGTCACCTGCTGCAGCTCCTCGGCAGAGCTGAGACGCTGCACGCGCGGGCCCGCCGGACCGGTCACTGCCGGACGGAAGGGGGATTAATGCCTGAAACAGACTCTTTCCGCAGTCAGGAAATCGCATGCGAGAGCCTATTCAAATACATGGAAGCGCGCTCGCATCAATCGCACGCACCTCCCGCAAGCGATTGATGCGAGAAGAATTATAATGTATTTGAATAGGCTCTCGCATGCGATTTCCTGAACGCGGAAAGAGTCTGTTTCAGCCTTAACGCGCGGAACATCCACGCCGTGCGATTCGAAGCTACCGCTGGGCTCTAAAGGATAGGCAGCAGGAAGCAAAATCACTGGTACTTTTTATGCATATCAATTGACATGGAAAATGATTGATGAAGCAACGGTTAACTATCTAAACGGTCAAGTGGTGAAATAATTAACCAGCAATATGTTCAACCAATCTCGGAAGAGATGGCAAAATACGTGACCTGTCCTGGCAAAAAAAAAAAAAAAAAAAACACTCAATCTTAGCACAACACACATAAATGGTGTAGAGATTAGCACACCTCGCCATCTGCCTCACCTGGCGACTTGGCGACAGTGCGGGCCTCGGGCGGTTTGCCGAACAGTCCGGTGCGGGCCAGCGAGCGCCGGCTGGCCTCGGTCAGGCTGGTGGCCGGACGGCGCTTACTGGTCGGCGCCGGGCCGTCCGGCTGGGTGAACACTGAGCGCAGCCGGCCGGAGGAGGGCGCAGCGGCCGGCTCCGACCCGCCCTCCTTCCCGAACAGAGCGGGAGCAGAGCCCGCCGACCTGCCCTCCGCCGCCTTCCCGAACAGGCCGGGTGCTCCCGCGCCCGCCGAGTCCACGCCGCTGGCGGTCTTTCCGAACAGGCCAGGTGCAGCTCCGGTGGGCCGCGAGGACGGCAGCGGGCCGGCGTCCGTTTCATCCGTGTCCGCTGACGGCGTCCGCTTTGGTTTGCCGAATAGACCCGTTGTTTCACTCGAGGTCTTTCCAAACAATGGTGCAGCAGGCGGGGCATCCACGCCAGAGTCTGACGCTGCCTTTTGTTTGCCGAACAGACCGGTACCACCAGTGGTTTTACCAAAGAGTGAGGCACCTGCAGCAGATGATGAAGTGGCGGAGCCTGCAGCTCCAGGGGCCTTTCCAAACAGTGAGGGACCATCTGCAGTAGCAGCACCATCAGGCGCCTTCCCAAACAGCGAGCCACCAGCAGGATCTGCACCACCAGCACCCTTCCCAAACAGAGAGGTGCCTGCAGAGGCCGCTGAGCTGGCACTGTCAGTGCCGCCAGCTCCAAACAGGCTGCGTATTGTTGAACCAGCCTGATCAGCAAATGTGGAGGCTGCCACTGAGTGTGCAGCTCCTGAAGAAGGCTTGGCTTCACTTGAAGACTTTCTTGTCCCCAGAGTGGCACCAAACACTGGTGCAGTTGATGGTTGGAACCCAGCTGAACCTGGGCCTGCAGCTGAACCAAAAGTAGTGCCAGCTGATAGACTGAATGCTGGGGCAGCAGTACTGGGTGGCTGACCAAAGGCTGCCCCAGAAGATTCTGACTGTCCAAACACAGATGAGCTTGAAGGTGGCTGATTTTGACTTCCAAATGTTGGCATGCTTGTAGGTGCTCCTGCACTGGGAGTAGGTTGCTGGCCAAATGGATTGGATCCAATGCTCTGGTTGTTCCCAAACACTGCACCACCTGGTGCTGGGGTGGAGCCAGCTGGTGCACCCCAGCCAGCGGTGGTAGGGGTGTGGCCAAATAGCGTGCTGGGCTGGCCAAAAGTTCCGGGAGCACCTGTGGCCTGGCCAAACACTGTGGTAGCTGATGCAGGTGGCTGCTCACTGCCTGTAGTTGAGCTGGGAGGCTTCGGAAAGGGGTAGGGTGGCGGGTTGCCACCACCTCCCCCAAACATGATCCAATATCTGAAGGAAAAAGATGCCTGTTAATGATCACACCAACTGAGTACCTACCTACCTAAGGAATCAAAAAGGGGAATGCCAACATATTTTACTGGTAAATTCAGCTTTGTTTAGCAAAACTTTGCAAAATGAAGGTTTGGCAGACACTCAACAATGTTTTACTTTATGATTGATAAATACAATCAGCATTTTGTGGCCATTAATCGGGTCTAGTGGCCACCCGGTCGACTAGACCGGGTGGCCTAGTGGATAGGATGCATGGCAGGTCAAGGTGGCAGGAGCGCTGTGAAGCTTTGTGAGAGAGCTGGCATTCTTGCCACACCGTGATCAGTTGTTTCAGCCTGTAGCCGGTGACCTGAGGTCACAACAGGGGGCGGTTTGTGGAATCTTGCCCAGCGTTCGATGTCTCACGGACGGTGAAGATTCTAAGCCGTTCAAGGTCAGCGGGGGCTCGGCTGCGGTTATGGAACGTGATTGTCCAGACGACGTAGAATCTTTCATCGTACGAGAGACATCGAACGCGGGGTTGGTTTGTGGGAGGTGGTGTGCTGGCTGGTGTGGTCATGGCGGTGTGGTAGTCGGGGGTAGTCGGGGACGGGGTAGTTGTCCGAAGCCGGGGCTGAGGACCCGATGCCTGTGTAAGCGCTACTGGTTGCATAAACACTGAGGTTACCTCCACCTTTTTCTTGTTGAGTAGCGTTTCAAAAATTATTTCCCCGGCTGCGGCTTGAAATTTGTTAGGGAAAAATACGCAACTCCACATAGATTATTTACAGAGCGCAAGCCTCATGTTAATGATGTGTGCATGTATGGTGCAAGGAAACCATGTGTCACGTGGCCACGCACGCAGCAGCAAACACCCGCTCGCTGGCGCGTCTGTATTATCACTGACTCCTGGCCCCGCCGCACGGCCCGACCGGCCGGTCGCCACGTCACGTGACCCGGGCGGCGGGGACAGCCAACCACAGCGCAGCACGACAACACGGGGCGGCCCAAGGGCGCTCCACACAGCCCTGACATTACCCCCCTTCCACGAAAATGTGCAACGGATACACACAATAAACAAGGCAGCGAACAAGTAAACACTCAACATAAACCTAAACATACGGCAGCGCGGCAACGAACATGAACTACGGGCGGCGCACCTCATACGGCTTTGTATTCTGGACATGTGTTCGACGGACGCCCCTGTCGGTGATATATTCAACATGTCTGCGCCCGACCATCGATGACACTATGAACGGTCCGACCCACGGGTCCTCCATCTTGGAGGCCCTTGTAACATTTCTCACCCAAAGTCGGTCTCCTTCCCGGTAACCAGGCCCATGTCGTCCCCTATCTCCCTGTGTGTCCAAGTGCACAGATGACGTCACACGAAGGGGCGGAGTCGGGGGCGGGGCCTAGCGCAACGGCCGCCATATTTGAATTTGTTTTATAAGAATGTAATCTATATTTTGGCTTTCAGTCAATTGTTATCGATAGTTTTATGAACGGTTAGCTGTAATATAAGTGATTTTTAAAGAAAAAACACATACTCTGCTTCCAATTTCGATTTGAGTCCGGCCCGCGCCTAGATTCGAGCGCACGACCTTTGGATCACGGTGCAAGCATCCTAACCACTACACTACCGCGGCGGCGCAGCGGCCGGCGGAAGGGAGGCTGCGAAGGCATGGGGGCTTTTCTACGCATTTTCGGAAAAACTAATGGGTTTAGTGAAAAACTGCTCTTAGATAATTCAAATAAAAATGTCTCGTCTTTCCGATGATGCACTTAGTTTTGTACTAGCTCCAACAGAGTTTGTTCTACAGCGCTTCAAAAACCGCCCATTTACATGGGACCCAAACGGGGCTTCAAGACTTGCCCCCAGATGACGTCACAAGCTGACGTCACGATCAGGTAGAATCGCCGGACGACCCTACCTGGTATATAGGGCCTTGCCGGTAACAAACATCGCGTACATCAAGGCTATAGAACTCCAGGTAAGGACACCAGCCGTTTGACCTTGAACGCCGCCGGCCGGCCGATGACGTCATTGGAGGCAAGCCGGCTCAGCGGACACACAGGGCGAATGCATAACGGAGGGGCGTTGGAACGTTGCGGGAGCCAGGGACATATTTTAAAGTGGTTGCATACCACCATTGTTTGTTGATTGATCTACAGACTGCATCCTTTTAAACCTCGATGCATCCTAGGCCTGGATGGTGCGTACATTCGTGGAACGATCACCCCGTCCGACGTCCGTGGTCGAAGCTGTCATAGTATTTAAGACACTAAGAAGGGTGCAATAACGGCGATCCGATCCCATCTTTGGCGAATTTAGAGGGGTCGTAAGGACCCAGGCCAAATCTGACCGTCTATTTTATTTTTATAGGGAAACGGGGTGGGTGAATTGACAACCGATGGCTTAAGAGATGATGAGAAGGGATCCCGTCTTCGATTGTTGTTTGACAGACAACACATGTTGTACTGGGCGTATGACCATCAGAGGTAATGCCTGAACGTAGGCAAGCATAATTGGTCTGTCATATTGTTTAGGAATATAAAATGGTAATGGAGATCATTGAGGATATGATCTCTACATTACGGGAATTCACTAATTACTACGGCCCATAGGGGCACCGCCGGAGCTGTTGTTTTGCCATTGGTCCCAGGCAACTCCAGGGAGCTGCAGTACCCGGCGGCCAAAGCGGCCACCTCGTCGACTCGCAGGTCCTCTGGGATTCCGTGATGCATTAGTGCTTCACCCACAGAAGCACGGGCATAGCAGTAAGATGTGGGGCTAGGTGTCTGTCCACCTCTTCATTCAAAGAACAACGTGTACAGCGCCTGGTCCCGCCCAAGGCCCTATATAGAAGGTATGCTCATTAGGCCGAAGCAGCGATTTCCGTGACGTCACAGGTACGAAGGGTCGGACGGCTGCAATGCAATCCTATGGAAAATGACCCAACTTTAGGGCTCTCCCACATAGCTGCCAACCTCGACACTAAGGTAAAAGTTATATCACATAAAAGCTCAAATCAAGACGAACAAGAAACCTATCTGACGTTTTTACGTATTACTAACGGCTTAGACTCTATTCAAGTATACTCAGAGCTCTGCATTACCTCACTTTTTCTGCCGTCAATGCCACTACAAATGTCTAGTCGGCGCACGTGCGCTTGTCGAGCGGGGACCACCAGTCGGGCGATTCAGAGCTGTCGCCCAATTAGAACGCCGCAATGCCGTGACGTCATTGGTCGCACACGACACGTTACGGAGATAGGGATGAGACAGCCCTGGGTCCCGCCGAAGCTCGGTATCGACCGTGACTTATTCACAACTGGCGGATCCAGGAAGCGGTATTGGACACTGCGGGGGCCCGCTTACCCCAAAAAGGTTTCTCGGAATTAATTTAAAAAACTCGGATTTCGATTCCTTGCGCACTGCTGTGCGGTGTGATTAACCAACATTTCCTCAGAAAAGTTGTGAAGTTTACATTTATTCTCGAAAATCGATTTCGGGCGCTGCCCTGGTTGTTGGGGAAGACATTTGCCCCAAATGCCTTCCCCTGGATCCGCCAGTGGCCGTTGCCCCACTCCGAGCTTGACTAAAGACGTCTTCAAACCTCACCAGAAACCGATGCTAAGGTGAATTTAAATCCAATAACTCATCTCTGTCTGCCCGCCTAAATACACTACACATGGTACAGCACCCGGCCCTGTCGGAGCTATGAGCCGATCGTGATATTTTCGGCTTTCCCCATCCCAAGCTCGATTTGAAACGTTCTCCTTCCCCACCCGATTGCTGATGTCAATTCAAATTCAATGCCTCATCTCTGTCTGCCCGACCATAACCCATTCATTGCACACCGTTCAGCGCCCGGCCCCGCCAGAAGTATCCTAGCGCGCTGAGCAGTTGCCTCCAGCCGCGTCATCGCGAGGCCCCGCGCGGCCCATAAATGAATACATTGCGCGAATAGCCGTGTCGCCCCCCTGGCGTACATGATACCGCTTGTCAAATTGGCGCTTATAACCAGGCCCATGTCGTCCCCTATCTCTCTGCGTGTCCACTAACACGAATGACGTCACGCATGTGGGCGGAGCTATGGGCGGAGCCTAACGCACGCGGCAGTCCAAGCCGCCATATTTGAATTTATATTTTAATAGAATCTTGCGATATTTTGGGTGAAGTCAATTTATATGGATAGCTTGGTGACAATTTAGCTATACGAATAATAATTTATTATGGATGTGCGTATATTTAGCTTGGAATTGCAATTAAAGTTCCGCACCGCATAGATTCGAACTCGGGACCTTTGGAATACTGCGCGGGCACGCTAACCACTACACTACCGCGACCGCGCGGCGGCCGGCGGCAGGGAGCCTGCGGAGACATGGGGGGACATTTTACGCTTTTGTGAAAAAAGCAAAAGATTTAGCGAAAAACACGTAATAGATAACTTGCAGAAAATTGTCTGCTCTTTCCGATAAGATACTTAGGTTTGATATATCTTGTGCAGACTTCATTCTACAGTGCTTCGAAAATCGCTCATTTACATGGGGATTGAACGGGGCTTCGAGACTTGACTCCAAATGACGTCACGAGCTGACGTCACGAAAAGGTAGAATCGCCGGACGACCCTACCTGGTATATAGGGCCTTGCTTATAACGACCAGACATCTCATCACGACGGTCCTGAGCCTGCCGAAGGGTCGCTGATAACAGACGCAGTTTTTCGTGCACAAAATCTGGCGAATACTTGTTTTTGGGCGCGCTAGCTAGCTGTGACAGCGGACTATTCGGATGGCGCAGGAAATACAGAAAAAACGGGCTGTATCCAGTAGTGTCACAAATCTCATTGTTCAAGGAATAGACCACTCCAGACAAGCGTGTCTCCCAATCAGCGCCGCCCGACTCAGAGACAGCACGCAAGCGGCGTTTAATGTCCAGATGACGCCGCTCCACCGCACCCACCGCCTCGTGATGATACCCCACACTCACACGAATATTCACACCGAAATGTTCACACAACACCTTGACATGACAGTGTTTCAGCAAGTTCGAACCCGCGTCACTCTCAATGCGCTCAGGGGGACCGAAAGTCAAAAAATGCTGTGTCAACGCCTCCACAACGTTATCTGCGGCACCGGAGCGCAGTGGATAATAGGTCAAATATCCGGCAAATTTATCAACGCACGTTAAAATCATTCAGCATCCGTGAACATTCCCTCTCGGCATGGAAAGTATATCGATCACGAGTACTTCATTGGGGTATGAAGCTCGCTGGGGCAGCAGAGGCGAGCGATGGGCTCTCGTGTCCTTCCGTTGGCAACACCTCGTGCAGCTCTTTACGTAGTCGGTACAGTCGGACCGCAGGCCCGGATACCAGAGGTGCCGGCTAAGTAGCTCGTACAGCTTCCCGGCGCCTCCATGGGCGTGCTGCGATACGTCGTGATGATTGTAGAGCATCTCGAATCGTTTGGACAGAGGCCAGACAATCTGATCACCGCGGAATAACATCCCGTTACGAAAAGTGAACTGGTCCGCTGATAACCGCCGCAGAACGGGCGGCGCGTACCTGGGCCACTTGTTGTGCTTCAGTCGGTGCGCGATAGCTCGACAATTGCGGTCGTGTTTCTGGTACCAGATTACTGATTCCGGCTTGAGAGCCTGCTGGACTAAAAAGTCAGCAGTAGTCATTAAGACCTCCCGAGCCACTTCTGGTTCCACCGGCTGCTCCTTGAGCACACCATCCAACGCACAAGGTGATCCTTCGAGTTCAGCACTCGTCGCATT